AATATTGCCCCAATCACAATGTCACATCTCTACATTGTTTTATTTTAATTTTTTTTATATAAATTATTTTCCCACAAATTTTTAGGCTTCCAATCCTCTATTAAACACACACCTGTAAAAATATTAAAATAATATTCTCAATAAAAATAAATGGCCAAAATATCCCTTAAAGATTTAAGGGGTATTTTGGTTATTATATTTTAATAAAAAACTATTTTCAATATTTTTTATAGGTATACCCAAATGAGAAGATGACACGTGCCAAATTTCATATTCATAAAATTTATATAAAAAATTAAAAATAAAAGATCTAAGATCAAAGGGAGCGTGGCTCACTTGATCAAAATTGGACGGCCGGATGGTAGGGGAATCTTATATCTTTTATGCTATAGGGGAAGTATAGAAACCTTTCCCTTGAAAATATTGCCAATTTAAACATTGACTTAAAACGCTCTGTGGTCCAAGTTGAGTAATCGATTCGCGTCTAAAAACAATTGGGAAGAAATATAGTGAAAAAGTAGTAAAAACATTGTAGATCTTGAAAAAGCTTGTAAGTGCCTTGAATCTGGGACTGAAATGGCGCAAGATCAGCCAAAGATCAATTATGGCGGGTGTTTTTCACATTTTGGACAAAAAAAAAAAAAGGGAGAATAAATTCGGACTCTTACGAGAAATCAATGGGGACTTTCATGTTTGTTATTGAATACACTACACTAAACCCGAGGCAAAAGTGAAAAGGGTTTAGGGTCTTTCGTGTTTGTTGTTGAAATGGAAGGGTATTTTACGGCAAATAATTTTCGGCTACTAAATTCTAAATTCAACATTAGTGTCGGCTACTAAATTCTAAATTCAACATTAATGTGGTGTACTATAGAATAAATTTTTATTTAAAAAAATTACCCACATAAAAACCATCATATTGGAGACCTCTAACTAATGGCAATGTCAATAGACCAGACCTTGGTCTTGCTAAAGCCAAATCAACACAAATTAGTTCACCTCAGCAGTGGAGCTACCAAATTTCTCGCAGCCCAATTTTCAGAACTAATAATTGAGGACTCATGACAAGCCATATTCCTTTCAGACTGTATTCCATTCCGCTCAATACAAAAAATAACCGATTTTATTCCAAACTTAAAAAGGTTTAGGCTTCATAATAAGCTATACTCTTTTCAGCTCAATATTAGAAAGGTGAAAAGTTTTAATGGCTATCCCCTCATCGAAATCTATTAGAGATCGATCGAAAACATATCTTGCACTCTAGATGTATTTCTGCTTTACATCCACAATTTTACATATACTGGATATCTGATGATTTGTGAGTAATTAATATGAACTATAAATATTGAAAAAATAAATATCAAAATTTCAACATTGATATCTTTTTTTTAAAAAAAATCATGATCGTATAGTTAAAATAATTCAAGTGTGAAATTTCAGATCCAGTAATCTCAAAGAGGGCATTTGAACGGATGTATAGGCTGACACCCAAAACCCCATCCATACAAAATCAACTTCACTGCTCAAGTTGTAAAACAAAAACCTTTGTGCCATGTAAGACGGACAAATTTATTCATTGTTTTTTACGCTAAACACCCATGTGTAACACCTGAAAAATTAAGGCACTTATAACCTATTTTTTGTTGAAATATTACTACTAATCCAACTTTTGTCGGAATAAGAGAAAGGGAAAATTATGGACATATTTGTTTTATTTTTCGTTATTACGAAAATATCTAATAGTCCTTCTCATTTTTTTTTTCTTTCTTTTCGGGACTCATAGTTAATGTGTCCCACAACCAGAATTTGATCCAGGAAAGGCTCAAGAGATGAGAGACAAGTGGGCCTTTTTATTGGATAATTGCGTTCCCTAGCTTGAGGTTTGAACTTTTTCATCATGGCACCTCCATTGACTTCCGCTTTATTGCTTCAATTCCAGAGCCAAAGATCGTAGTTATCGAACGAGCAATCGAAAAGATTTATTATAGATATGTCCGATTTTTCAATTTCGTAACAACTTTTTTTAAAAAAACCTATTTTACCCATTTTCGATTTTTCAAAAACCGAAATTAAGTCTATTTCGACTTTTGAAAAACAGAATCTGAGCGGTCTCTCACTAGGCTTTGGAATTCGGTATCCTCTCTCTCCTCTGCATTTATTCTTCTCTCTCGCACTTACCTCTCTCACAAGAAATCCCAATCTATATCTCTTACCTCTCTCACAAGAAAGGGGACCTGAATGATGCGATGATTGCGGTGGACAAGGAGACCGAAGGAGCAGAGATGCAGTCCAAACAAAACATTTTGCATTCACTCTTATTTGAATTGCCATGTGACTTGCATTGGCAAAAGAAGATCGTTCCTAAAGAGAGGTTTCAACCATGGTGTCCGAACCATCTCCATCTCCATCTCCTCCTTCAAATCACCAAGAAAATCAAACTCCATTACGTTTTTTTTGGGTAAGTGAACCCCATTAGGTTATCACCCAAAGATAACCCGAAGCCAATGTTTAGAATATGCTTAGAGATAGAAAGAGGTAAGACAGTTCATACTTTAAACCCCTAAGTTTGATGAACAGGAATTGATATCTCTCTAGGTTAAAGTGGGTATGTCTGCCTTCCTAGTTAACCGTGAGTCTCTCTCTATCGGTTGGTTTCTTAATCTCTCGCTATTTTTTCTTCATTTGTTGTTCTCTATCATCTTCCTTCACAGTTTCTCTCTCTGAACTTTATTTTCTTCATGAATGGATCTCCCAAAAATTTTAGTTTTTCTCTTGCCATTTTTTCTTCATGTGCCGTTCTCTCTCGTCTTCCTTCACAGTTTCTCTCTCTAAACTTTATTTTTAAAAATAGATAGTTTCATTTTTTATTTTTTATTTTTTTTAAAAAAATGGTTATGAAGTTAAAAAAATAGATGTATCTCTACTGATAGAAACTATTAAGTATTTTCATAATAACAGAAAATAAAACGAACATTTATGTAAGGATGTGGTTTCCATAAGGTTGCAACCTTAAACAATCCAACTAAGGTGGACATTCAAATTTTATCATAATATATAATTTTGAAGTAAAATAGTCCTAGGATTTTCTCAAAATCTATTTTTATATCCAATTATAAAATTGTAAATTTCAAAAATAATTAAAATCAAGAGATCTATAAACATATGGAAATTTTGAAAATAGACGGTGTAGATAATATGTTGTAAGATGCACTATTTTTTGAGACCCAAAATCTTTTTATTTTTCATAGTCATACATCGTAGTGTCAAGATGATCAATCACATGGTTTTTCAACATTGAAGGAACATTTTTGGATGGATTTTTGAAGTGCATCCGTAGTTCCACATTTTAAGGTTGCAACCTTATATAAACTTTTCCCTTTATGTAATTTTCCCCAAGAGAAACTACAAATTTGCTCAATGTAATGAATAGGTGATGAATACCGAAGCAGTAGTGAGAGACAACGGGCAACCAATCCATACAAATCAACACTTGGAATATATCTCTCTCATGTGTCATGTTGTATGAGAGAGGTACCCAAAGGTATTTTAGAAAAGGAAATCAGACTATTTATTTTTTACATAAGACAGTCACAATTAATCTTAACTGTTGGATGAAAAATTGAATGGCTACATCTATTCCATCGACCCTGTTAAAAAGAATATTTTTTCAACTTTTAGATTTCAAATCAGATGGTTATAAGTAATTGTAATTTGCAAATGGTTTATTGTATACAATCCCTTTTAAAAATATGGTAGGCAGAAAATAATCCTAATCAACACATAAATACGTGTTTTTGAATCATTTGTAGAAGAGAGAAATTCAAGGGAAGAGCCGATAAACACCTTGAGAGAGACCCTAAGAGGTCAAGAGCGTCTAAAGAGAGAAACCCTGAGAGTGATCAAAGAGCCTCATAAAAGAGAGATTTCTAATAAAAAAAAAAGAGAGAAAACCTCTTGAAAATAGGATACTCAAGATATAGAGATTGCCTCTGTAAGGAATTTCCTTGTAAACCCATTGTTTTTAAGGGAATGGGATTATTTATGTTACAATGTTTTCTTTTATAGCTTGTTTTCCCAACTTTTTTCACGCACACGCACACGCAAACGCAAAATGTTTGATATTTATTCCAAGATGTAAAGCTCCATTGAGTGCATCTGCATTCTTGGAAGAGGATTCGATGTCTCATGTTTATAACTTAAAGCTTGAATCTCTCTCTCTCTCTCTCTCTCTCTCTCTACGTTCCTTGGGCTTCACCACCTAAGATAGGGCCGGCCAAGAGGAAGCACAAAAATGGCATGTCAATAAATGTTACTGTTGATTATTTCTACCCAATAACCTCAATAGCTAAGCATATCATGGACATCTACAGAATGGTGAACTTTCCCAAACCTGGAATTCCCGCTGTTTTTTAAAAATTCAGAACGTGACCCTAACTGGGTTGGGGTATGATTCCAAATCTCCATACCCAAATCTGACGATTCCAAAGTGGCTACACATCACAAAGAAATTCAAAAATTTAGAAAGTCCACGAAAAGCGAATTTTCTATCCACAATAAGTCTACCTCTCCCAGTCCGATTCACAGGATTCCGATTCAAATAGATTATTTTCAAGCACTAACCAAGATAGCAAAATTGTTTACCCAGTATTATCAGAATTGGACCGGCCACCGAACTGGTGGTTTGGTCCAATTAAAACCTATCCAATTACTGGTTGAAGCAATTAGACCGAAATTTTTTTAAAAAAAAAGAAAAATAAATATATTAGAGTTTAAAAATATAATATATCTTTAACAAATTTGCTCAACTTCATTTAGCTGGTAGTTAATAGTTTCAAAAGAATTTCAGTTAGCTTGTTAAACCGGATAAACCGGCAGGCCCGGCCTATACTGGTCAAACATTGATTTTGACCTGTATTTGCACAATCTTTTTTTTTATTTTGAACCAGACAAGCCAAGTCACAGATTAGCCGTCCGATAGGTCAAATCATCAGTTCAGTCTAGTCCTGATAACTATGGTTTATTTTCTCTCTCTCCTCTCACCCTAGTATAAATAATTAATCCAAACCATATTTCCCGTTTTTGCATGTGGTGCATAAGATAACATGCTCCAGCAAGGCCAACAAAATAAGAAAGGGGGAACCCGAGACGATATAAGAATTGATGAAAAGAAAGAAAGCACTCACAATTTCCCATGTACCTCTAAGACAAATCCATTCAAACTTCTGCCAAATATTGTCCTCGAGAATGTCTCATTGACGTGAATGCGCGCTTGCATCCCCATGATTTCAGCCATTTGGGTGTCACTGATGAGCAGTGCCATGGCAGATGAGAACTGCTTAGGAGTGGGTTCACATAAGAACCCCGTGACTCCATGTTTGATGGTTTCAACAGGGCCCCCACTGTTACATGCAATTACAGGCTTTTGTGCAGCCATGGCTTCTAGTGGAACAATGCCGAAATGTTCATCCTGCATCCACGCATCAATTGAACTTTTGTCAATGTGCATGTCTATGCACGCCAATGCACGCCTATTAACATATTACAATGACATACAAGTTTGTAAATGAGTGTACATAGTGCATGTCTATATATACAAACATCTGTATATTCATGTCAGCAAGAGGGTGTGTCTGCATAATTTGGATATGAGAGAGAGAGAGAGAGAACACATGTGTATTGAAATATAATCTGCAAGTGTATATATATTACATCCATTGGCACAGATATCAGTATGTGAGTATAAGCTCACACAAATATGTGCTTGTGCATGCATACGTTCGTGTGTGTAGTGTGTGTGTGTGAGAGAGAGAGACTTGGTTATGATCTTACCTTTGGGGTATATAGAACGCAGAGACACTGAGAAAGTAATGCATTTCTTTCAGAAGTTGAACATGATGTGATGAATTTAACTTGATTGGCCACACCTTCCTGTAAAGCCAAGCTCTCCAACTCTTTTAGATACTCAACATTTTCCTTGAGACGCTTATCAAAGCCTCCTGAAATACATAGGGCAAAAAATAAACTGAAGAATAAAGCTCACGATGATGCAGTTAAATAAATTATATATTCTTTGCTCAGTTCCCTTTCAGTCTGGTAACATATAACTATGATCTACATGAGGGTTGAAGCCTGTTCTCTTCTTTGATCTGATCCTCTCCATAATCTCTTCAAAATGACCACGTTCTTAAAGATACTGGCACCTGGAATACCAGTTAATGCATTGATCCAGAACAATTTCTGGAACATTTTAAAAAATCTACTGATGTCTATAAAACTGTGTGCGTATACATATATGTAACACATCAACCATACAAACCCATCCTAAATAAATTTGAAACAGGACTTAGCCTAAATTAGAAGGGCATTCTAGTGAATCTACAAATACTAAAAAAGGGAATTAGAAGTGACTCCAAATTTATGAGAAATATGTCCCAACCTATGCTACCTAAATTAGAAGGGAAATACTAAAAATGGGAATTAGAAGTGACTCCAAATTTATGAGAAATATGTCCCAACCTATGCTATACGGTACGATTGAATTTGAGACTTACATCTGTGATGATGATACTTGAGTTCTCTTATATAATGAGTTGCAGATGTTTCATGGTCTGTGCCTGGGGTCCAAAAATTGCTGGTTCGACTTGGAACCTCCGAAATTGAACCAGGATAGGAAACCACCCGGTCCTAGTCCTAATTCAAATCTAAGGGCATCTAAATGACATCGAATTTTTTTATTATATAACAAGGGTTCTTAGGATGATCTGAAGCTCCACAGCCTTGTTTATCCTCATTTAAACATTTTAAAGCTTTTAAATTTTGTTTAGATTTTTTGCCTTGTTTTTTTCCTTTTTGATATGGCCTAGTCAGCCGAGCAGAGACTGTGACTCGACTGGTTTGACTCAGAACCAGTAAGTGCCTGGTTCGGCCCCACTGGTCCATTTTTCAAATGCTGGTTTGTACATTTTTATTTTATTCGATTATTCTCATTATTTATTTATTCATTTATTTTGATTGTTGACTGGGGACGTGGTGATAATGGAACTCTAGACGTAATGTTATGGGACCCATCACCTTGACCACCTCTGCCAGGTCTGCCTACAGCACATTCTCGTTTGTTAACATATTTTCTCAATCTATACGTGATATTATTGAGTAATATTTGAAACAATTGGGAGACACTTTATACATACACATACTTCCTCGGCGGGTGTTACCGAAGAGAAAAAGTTTTGAATTCTTCTTTGTTTGATTTCTACCCGTATTTCGATTTATTTCTTAACATTCTCATTCAAAACACAATTTTGGTCAGAGTACTTAAAAGTACTTAGAATCAGAGAATTAAGTTATAATTTCTCAAGGTCCTATGGAATCTCAACCATTTTAACATGGTTTCAATTATAAAAAAACCATTCATTGCACCAATAAATAAACACTAATTTCAATATTACTTACTATCTTAACTAGAGACCATACCAGTGTAACAGTCAACTTTTATCAAGAAAAGGAGAAAAAAAAAAGAGGAAGCCATACCAATGTATGCCTCTCGTAGAACTGGCCCAAAGATTTTCAAACCCATAAGTACCAGTACTTTGCATTGTCTTTCCTTATTTCTTCATGTGTGTAATGCAAACAGACTTAATCATAATCAAGCATCAGAAATGTCATTAGTGGTAATAAAGCCATCCTTGGCTCTCAGCCTCATACAAGCATAGAAAAAGATAACTTACCAACAATAGTCAAGGTTGACTGAGCTAAGTTATGGCCAGGAAGATGATGCCCTTCAGAAGCTTTCAACCTAGAAAATGCCGATATTGCTAAACCGATGTTCTTTTTCCTCTCGAAGCGATTCACAGATAGAAAATTTAACCTAAAAAGGTCATGAGTGACAGAGAGATTTCAAATGGACATGACCATCAAGACTTTTAAACACCTTGTTGTTACGAACAGGCCATCAATCCATCATTATTCAAAGCTGTGAAGAACTGGCAATCAACAAACAAGAATGACAATTACCCATAAACACAGGGCCCCTCAAACTGCTCCACATCAACAGCTGGGTAAAGAACAGATGGGCGGATCCCTTTTGCATGGAGAGAGTTGAAAGTGTTGGCAAAAGTAGAGGCAGTGAACTTGCTGTTGACTAGAATCAAATCAGCCATCCCTTCAAATTCAAAAAGAATATGCGACAAAGTCTCGTAAGCATGTGACAATATTATAGATAAAAGTTCTTCCAGTTACACAAAAGGGAAGTGCACCATAATCCAACCGACAGTAACAAACCACAGAGCACTGGGTTGTCACCATCCATCGAAATGATGGACTGCGATGGAGAGGGACGAACAAGATGATGAAATGTTCCCAATTATGGGTCTCCCTACATCACTATCCATCTTTTAATTGGACAGTATCGACCTGTACTACGGTCTTCCCATGGTCCATTGGGTCATAGTACACTTTGGCTACAAAGTAATGTATTGAAGGTGATCACAATTGGAATAACAAAAGAAAAGACCAGTAGTTGCTTCTTCAAGCATGTCGATTGGTTTCCGATAAATTCTTCTGAGCAATGTTGTGTGTTGTGCCAGCAATGAGTCTGGAAAGTGGCAATAGAATACAATCTGGACATAACCAAACATTTTGCTTTGGTGCTCATATTTTGAAACCACATAAGAATTACCACAAGGGGAGTACAATAATCCAATGGACTGTGGAAAAACCATAGTCCACATGGTCATAACCATTCATTGGAATGATGGATGGTGATGGAAAATGGACCTATCCTTGGGGTCCCGTCCTGCTGCGGACTTCTGGTGGGTCCCATTATCTGTCTATCAACATCCGTCATATCAGAGGATGGTGAAGACCCAATTGACAATGGTTTGTCCCATAGTCATCTCGATCATAGAATAGCTTCGATATATCATACAATAAATGACAAATACCTTAGATGATCGTTTCAGTCTTATAACGGGAATGACTGCAGATACCTGGTCTGCCAGTATAACATCAAATGATGGCCACATAAGCAACACACAAAAAGCAACGAAGATACATCTAATGTATGCACAAATAGCATGGAACCGATAGAACAAATGCCGAGGTAGGAAACTCCCATATACTGTGACGGAAAAGGTCCTGCACAGTGGTGTCGAAAATATCATTACTGAGAAATAAGCTATAAATATGCTTGTAAATCCAAGACATCAAGACCAATGAACAAAGTATAGAAGCTGGAACTTTTACATTGAAACACAAGAATATAATTGATTTTGTAAATTAGAAAAAAAATAAAATACTAAAATCTTATGAATACAAACTTGCATAACTTATTCAGACAAATATGTTTTTTTGAAATGTAAAAATTTAAATACTATCTCAGACAAATATTAATCAGTTATCTTGGCCCCATGCAGGTCATGACAAGCTAAATATGTGGATCATCCCCAAAGATGGGTCACAATTTTCTTTGTTGTCATTACACATCACAATTGTTTCCAGTACTCTACCATTACCACATCTATGTGACCCCTATAACAAAAGAACTTGGAATATTCCCCCTGCTAGTCTCACTATCATTCACTAATATCCAATTTGGATGAATGTGTTAGAGTAAAATGCACATTTAACTCTTTGTTATGCTGCATTACAGCTTTCTATTCTTTAAACATTGTACACGCATGGTCCAATACTCAGTTGACAAACTTAAGACCCCGGAAGGAAATTTTGGACTGCAAGACTTGCAACAAGTTCAATAAGACTACATAAGACCAAATAGTGCTTTGAGGGAAAACACTTCTCTGTGAGTTCTTCAGAATTTTATAAAGATGAACTGATCATCAAGCAAGATTAAGTGTTTTCAGAGGGCTAAATTACCTGATGAAGTGAAAGACCCAGCCATTGCATATTTAGGTGTGATATGTTCATGTTGTTTCTATTTTCAGCTTGGTGATTGGGATGTGGTTATAGTGGTGCCAGCAGATGGGGGATAGAAGGCAGAGTTGTATAACTCAACAATTGCCAAATTTGTCAATTGAAATGTTAAATCACATAAATCTCAGATTTTCTTTTTCTTCCACGAACAACCATTATTGCTTTTTTATAGCTAACAAATCATTAAAAGTGGGGAAAAGGATACATCACAATGCATCCATGAGAGAGCATCCAAATCGAGATGTACCCATTGCAATGGGTGAGAAAGATACAGATTGCCAGTTTATTAAACTCAAAAATATTATTTTATATAGTTACTCTTAAACTCACAATGGATAACTAGGTCATACCGAACTGCACAAATGAGCAAATTGAAATGTTTACCACTAAGTGTCTCTTCAAAACACCGACTTTTGTCATGATGTGCAGTGAAAACATGAACATCATGCCCATTCGATGCAAGTTCAACTGCTGCATCAACAATTAATCTTTCAGCTCCACCTACACATGCAATCAACAATAATTTTGATAGCTGACAATAATAGTCCTCACCCCATATTTGAATACAAATAGACGGAAAAATAAGTTCAAAATGTTCATACGCCTCACAAAAGCATCTTAGATTGATCTATTGTCAAAACAATTACTCGTACCATAATTGAACGCATATAATTAGAAATGAGTTCAAGATATTCATACGTTTCACAAAAGAACCTCGGTTTGATCTAATATGAAAACTTAAATGTTGTATGGGTTTCTCCTAGTAAACTTTTCTTGTCACATACTCGCATGTCCTAGAAAAACCACCACCATTTCAAAAGAAAAGAATGCAACCGCTCTTTCAACAAAACAAAAAACCAAATACAACACATTAATCACCAGCATTTAGAGAAATGCAGCAGATACTCTATGTCTCAGGGAGAGGGTTTGGACCCTTATATCTTTGCATACCTTAAAATTGTACAAGTGAAGCACAATTAGTGATAAATAAACGAGAACAAATAAAGCACGCGGTAGTAACCCATTGCCGGTTGATGGGAGGAAGGTGAGGAGAATAGAGAGAAAAAATTGTATAAATGAAACACCATTAGTGATAAATAAAAGAGAGAAAAAAAAGAACAGGCAGTAGTAACCCACTGCTTGTTGATGGGAGGGAGGCGAGGAGAGAGAGAGAGAGAGAGAGAGAGAGAGAGAGAGAGAAACCTATGCCGAGGTCAGGATGGATGATTGCGATCTTCAGCTTAGTGCTTCCCATTCTTCTTCCTCCCTCCCTCCCTATCTCTCTCTCTACCTGCATTTAAAGGTCCAGGAAAAAATAGGAAAAAGAAAAATGGAAGGGTAAACCTCATTTATGCCACAGTTTCCAAAATATTCAAATTACATGTTCAAAATCAAAATTAATACCTTACTTCTACTGCCCATTTTTTCTAACTTTTCACCCACAATTGCATTCTTTTTTTAAAAAAAACTTTTAAAATAGCAGTAATATCAACTGCCAATCCATTCTTCGTAAATTAAAGAGGAACTTCTGATAAAACCTGATTTTGAGTGTTTTCCCCCCAATTTGTCAAACTTTCATCATCTCCAAATATGCAAAATTCACATCTAAATTGGATCCAATTTCTTTGAGTGCATGGATCAAGGCGTAAATCACACAAATTCACAAAGAGAAACTCATTTTTCTCTCTGCAAATGTTAGTTTCAATTAAATTTTTTTGTTCGGGAAAAGTCAGGAATCTCACCTTGCGCTCTTTTCTAATTTCTACTTCAATCTTCTGCAAATCAAGAATGGGTACTTGTCAAATAAAAAAACCCTAATTTTACAATTCGAAGGCAGGGATCAATAGCAACATGAAGACTGGCAGCAAGCTCTCGGGAGGAGGGAGAACAAAAATATGCCCTGCGAAATAATAACAAGGGAAAAGGGTCTCTATTATGGCCCCGCGTGAGCATGCTATAAATTTGCTCCTCACTTACTTGGGAAGATCTTTTTTCTATTAAATTTTGGGAACCACCTAATAATTAATTGATGATTAAATTTAAAAAAAATTAAAATTTTAATTATTTAATACTTGGATCTCATCCTCTAATATTTGAATGGTATCTATTCAATCTTTAAACAAGATTTTTTTTAAGCACTGCGAATGTGGATACTTCTTTTTAAGCACTTAGAATGTGCAATACGTTTTTCTTCTTTTACTGAGAGTGTATATGCATTAAAAATATTACTTGTCCAAAATGGGATTATATATACTGGGACTTACCTTGGGATTATATACACTTAGATTTATCTTTAATATGAGGAGGTCATAATTACTTATGACTACCTTATGTGAAATTTGATAGCTTGAGTGTGTCTTAGAGTTGATAAAAATTATTTTGAACTTTAAATTTGCTTTATAGAATATCTGCAGCCACCAAATTTCACCTCAAACTGTCAATATTAACTATGTCCATATCGTACCAAAAGTAAATGATATGTTTTTATCCTTTTTCATCCAAATTTTAGGGTGCTAAAAGTATTAGTATATAGTTAGATTGTGGTTACGCCCTCGGAGTACAAAACAAAGGGTAACTAAGTAAAGGAAGATGGATTAATAAACAAATTTTATGCGGGTGCAACTAGTGGCATGATACCTTTATTTTTTTGCACTATAGATTAATTTATCATCGTACTTAACAAATTATGAACACGCATATACCCTTATTTTATACATAAAGTTTTTTTTAATAAAAGTATTTTTTTATTATTAGAAAGGCTATGACATCATCTATATAGAATGTGACATGGAACATTAAATGCTACTAGTGTGCTTGATGTTGATGATAGTACACCTATGTGGATGGTGCCACAACACTCTTAACGACCATACATTTATTTAAAAAAGGAAAAAGTTTATATCAGGTTGTAATATTAAAATGTAGAATCACATATGCACCTAAAAAATCCATCGAAAAATGTTGTTCTAATGCTGAACAAATCTCTAATTGATCACCTCGACATCGAGATGTGTGAATATGAAAATAAATAAATAAATAAATATATATATATATATATATATATATAACACTACG